ATTGAAAAAAAAAAAACTATAGATTGTTTGTATATGATGTCAACTGTAGTTCTTAGAAATTGACAAAAATCAGTATCAGCAGGTACAAAAAAAAAACGGAAATTGGAATCAGCCAAAACAATTGCAATCAGTGCATCTCAAATTGTAAGTCATTTAATTACTAATTATTGTACTCTCATGTTCAGTACCATTACCCTGCACCCTGAACTGATATCTAGCAAAAAGCATTATAAACAGCGGACCATTAGACCAATAATGAATGTTTATAAGATGACATAAGATACAAAAAAGAAATCTGCTTAAACTGTTTTTACAGGACAGTGAAGTTGTCAGGTCAGCCAGGCACTTGTTGTCTTTGCTGACTTCAGGCAGTGCTGCTGGTCCCAGTCAGGATAATTCCATGTTTTTTGTGTATTTTTATTTATTATTGTGGTAAGGATAGTTAGTAAGGATAGTGTGGTAAAGGAATTCCCTGTTATGTATATGTATTTGTGCATACATAGTTTTATTAAATTACTTTCATTAAATTAATTTAATGATTCAGCCTCCATAGGCAGAGGGCCACCATCCAAACTGAGATGACCAGGTTTTGCAACTACATTATTTTTATTTAATATTGACATAAAGAAACATTACATTATTTGATGGTAATTATTTTGGTTTGTAATTGAAATTTTTTGCCAACAGATCATTTCCTGGGTTTTTCAGCAAAGGACGGGGTAAAAGGCGAATGCAGTCAGTGCCCCCTAGCAAACCTGCTAAAATATTGCCTGTTAACTTTTATCTGCTTCCTCACCAATATGAGCAAACACCTATGGAGAGTGAGCAACTGGTACATATGCAAGCTGGGTTGGGGCGAAAGAAAATGCAAATGGATGAAAATGCAACTAGGGATGCACCGGTTGACCGGCCATAAATCGGAACAGTTTTTTGTATTTTTTTCGTCCAATTTTTCCGGAAGTGCGCCCGCGTGCACAGACTACATTTGTAGGCCTAATCATTTAGCGAACATGTCATTTGTGTGGAAGAATTTTGAAATCTGTGCGCAGGACGTGAAGATTGCAATCTGCAATGTCTGCAAAGTTCAAGTTAATCGCGGAGGAACAACAGCGAAGACATTCGGCACAACAAACTTGATCAGACATTTAAAAGTTCATCACCCGAAAGAACACGATGAGTATCAAAAGTCTGTTGATAATGCAAACAGGCAAGACCTTCATCCCTCACTCAACCATCGGTGAAATCCGTCATTCTACAAAACCAGAGTTACAGCCGAGATAGTTCAAAAGCTCAAGCCATTACAAAGAAAGTAATGGAATTTATTGTACTGGATGACCAGCCGTTTTCCGTTGTAGAAGACCAAGGTTTACGCCGTCTAATGGCGCACATGGATCCGCAAAACATGCTGCCCAGGAGACGATACTTTTCGGATGTGGCTCTACCCGAAATCTACAATGCTGCAAAGTCAGCTCATGTTCACAGTCTACTTAATGCTGAGGTCAGATACATTAGTTTTACCACTGATATATGGAGCGCTGATGTGAGCCCAATATCTATGCTGAGTCTGACGGCCCAGTATATTGATGCTGATTTCGAACTAAACTACAGAACTACAAAAAGTTCTCTTACATGCACAAGAATTCTCAGGTTCACATACAGCATCTGCGCTTTTGATGGCTTTTGACGAAATGCTTAAAACCTGGAACATTTCCAAAAGCAAAGTGCATGTAATTGTGCGTGATAATGCCGCAAACATGTGTAAAGCACTGCAGGATGCTCACCTACCTAATCTGCCTTGTATGGCCCACACTCTTCAGCTGGCCATAAATTAAGGGTTGCTCACAGCGCAGTGTAACTGACATAGTAGCGACCGGAAGAAAAATAGTTGGCCATTTCAAACATTCGCTTGCACTGAAACGTCTCCTAAAAAAAGTGCTGAAACGGATCATGGCGTTAAAACTCTCAAATCCACTCTTTTAGAAGCGGTTGAGAAAAGATTCAGCGATGTTGAACTGGAGCCCTTGTACTATCTGGCTACGATCCTCGATCCGAGGTAAAGACAACAATATAATAATAATAATAATAATAAGGCTCTACATAATAACAGGCTATAATCTGTCATTTTTTGTTTGTTTAATAAAAAGGTACAAGGATCTATATTTCTCCAACACAGTCAAACATACAGTACGAGAAATGCTTCAAAAGGTGTTACAACCAGAAACAGGAGAACTGAGGGAAGAGACGAGATACGCTGAAGGGAATGAAGAGTGCACAAAGGCGCCAGCAGAAAAAATACCACGCAGAGCAAGCTCACTGTTGGCGATGCACGATGAGATATTGG